AATGATAGGAGCCGTCCAGTTTTTTACAACGATCTATAAACTTCCACCAGTCGAATTTTAATAAAAAACAGTGCTAAATCTTTATGACACGCTACAAGTTTCGTCCAAACAGCGATGGTTATTGGATTTCGAAAATGTGGAGGACTATTTATCATACGGAATAGGAGGTGTGTACTTTATATCGTTATAAACGCATATATAGTAATTCTTGTTGTTGGTCTGTTGATTTGGAGGTAAGATCTTCGACGGTGATCCTTTCTTCTTCTTTTGATGTTTGATTTGTTTCGACTTTCTTTTTAGTTTCTTTGATGGTGGACTTCTTTGTACTCGTTTTGCTCGGAATTTCTTTGTTCGCTTCTTTGTCGGATTTTTCTTCGTTGGCTTCTTTCTATTATGTTTTTTGTGTGGCTGCTTTTTCTTATTTTTGTGAAACTTCCCTTTCTTCCTTTTTTGCTGTGGAGGGCTAGGAAGTGGATCCTTACTGAGGGCACAGGCGACAAATACATGTTCATCTTTTATTTTCTCCAGCTTCTGAGCAAGTTCTAGTGTGGATCTAAAGGGACACAAGAGTTACGATGAAGTATGAAAGTAATTCAAACTTACGGTGTTGCTATGACCTCAACTCCATATGAATCCTCATAGAATTCCAAGGAAGCTTTGGCAGCTCTCGCTAGTTCTGAGGATGGAATGCCATTATATGCTTTCAGCAGATTGCGGATTTTGTATGCAACCTCTTCGTACTTGCAGAAGTAGAAAGCCTGTAAAACAGATTTTATGCAGTCCTTATGATGTGATGAAAATGTTACGCTCTCGGCTGATTTTGCGATTTGTAAAGCGTAGGACAGTCTCACATTCATAGGAAGGGTTTCTATTACAAGCTCTCTTTCTCGGTCGTTGATTCTTTGGTCAGACGAATATGCTTTCCAAGATGCATGACAACCTTCATATTGGGGATTGAATCCAACTGTGGCTGTGACCTGTGACTCTAACATCAGACAGTGGGTAAGAACAGAAAAAAAA